AGCATCTCTAAATCATGGAGATGGATCTAATGAAGGATATCGTGGATTCGATAATGAAGGCCGCCCCGACGGCCGACGACCTAAATCAAGCTATCGCAATTGTCGTCGAAGATATATTTTTATATATTGCAATCCAAACGTCAGTCCCTAAAAGCAAAAAATGAAGAAGAAAGTCTTCTCATTATTTCCTTGCTCAAAGATGTTGCATAAGAAACAATGGAACAAATCGATTTAGGAAATATCCCAAACAATACCACTCCCTTTCAACCTCTTCTACACATGTTAAAAGCCTTATTCCAATACGAAAATATATGGAGACTCCATACCGCTGCAGAACTTCAACCGCCACAAGGGAGAGGAGTTTCAATCCTTGCTACTAAGGCATCATGTTGCCCTCAAAAAGCTGAAGGAATTCAATATCGAAATCCCCTCATTATTAGCTAGCTGGCACTTTTTGTCTCGCTCTAACACACCCAAATAAATCCACGTCCAGGTCAAAGCATTTTACCATGGTCACCTGGAATATAAGGCCGTTCATAAAGCTTTATTGCGTATATTTAGAGGAGACCACAAACCCAATCATAATTCATCGGCGCAAATGCCTACAGGAAGAATAAATTCTTCCATGGGAATGATTTCATCGATGAGGAGTTCTATGAAAATGATGGTAATAAATAGGATGAAGAATATCAAGAAGCCTAGTATGGCGATGAAAATAAAGTCTTCGAGGAAGAAATCAATGAGGAATTGGAGAATATCATAGAGATCGTAGATGAAGACTACATTTCCTATTTAGAGCACCAAACGCGAATAAAAGAACTAATATTAGCTCGTGATTTTTATGCCGTGGTAGCATTGGAATTCACTAGAGACGGATTCAAAGGAAGATAAAAAAATACATCAAAAAGGAAATCATAAGGCAAAGGAAAATCCAGCAAAAGGAAAGGAAAAACAAAATATTATGGCAAAAGAGCCTCTTTCCCACCAAGATCTATGCATGGATAGATGATCATCGCCTTCCTCCTTCCATGACGGCATTCAATGATTTCAAATCCATATTATTAAATTCAATATCTAACCATGGTCCCAGATTCAAACGATACCAAGGACCAAGCACAAGGAATGAAAGAAAATTCAGACGAAATTCCAATGTCTGGAGGATTATCCATGATTCCATTGTTGTGTCGTGGATTGCATCCAAATACGATCAGATAAGGTGAACTTCCGGACGCTAATCGAAGACGATTTCGTTGAATGCATGCAACACGAACAACTTCAGCAATGGATCGATTTGGTTCCTCCTTCAGGATCTTGAAGATTTGGAATCTTCGCATTGCACGCAAGCGTTCAATTAAAGCCATTCTGTGGTGAGCTTCTTTGGGTACCAAAATCAGCTTGACGTTGAAAATATCAAAGAAATTCCAATATTTTTGTTCCCCAATGGCCATGCTATGGGGTCTTGCAAAACTAATAGGCGGACGGGCGCCGTTGGGTCACCGTCAGAGCTGGTGGGCGGATGGTGCGCCGGTCATGTTGTGATGGTGTGCCGGTCATGTTTTGATGGTGTCCCGATCGTGTTGTGACGGTGTCCCGGTCATGTTTTGATTGTGACCCAGTCATGTTGTGATGGTGTCTTGGTCCTGTTTTGATGGTGTCCCGGTCATGTTTTGATGGTGTCCCGGTCATGTTGTGATGGTGTCCCGGTCGTGTTTTGATGGTGTCCCGGTCATGTGATTGTGTCCCGGTCATGTTGTGATGGTGTCCCGGTCATGTTTTGATGGTGTCCCGGTCGTGTTGTGA